GAAAGGCACGGCGACCTCGGGGATTGGGGGAGGGGTGCTACAGCCAGGGTTGTGGCCGAGGAGGGCGGGAGAGGAGGACGCGGGGAGTGCTGGCCGGGAGGGTGGCGGTGGCAGGATGTGAGAGGAGGGTGGAGATGGTGCGGTCTGCGAGGGCGTGCGGGGCGGTGGGGGGTAACTGGAGGAGTTGCCAGGAGGGACACCGGAGGGGGGGGGGAGAGGCAGCGTTAGGGTCTGATGGACTTGAAAGAGGCGGAGCGGTCAGGGCGGAGGGAGGGGGGGAAGCGCAACCCGACGCGACCGTGGCTGCACGGGGCCGGCACGCAACCGGCAAATAAGGCACCCTCCGGCTTTTCTTTTCCGTCTCCGGTTGGGATTTCTTACCTGTACAGAAAATCATGGAAGTTGAAGTTTGGAAAGGCCCAAGCGTGTGTTTTACCTCACACGCCGCTCAGCTTCCTCTGTGAATCCCATGCTGATTTCCCCTTCCCCTCCCCCCTTCCCCTCCCCCCTTCACCTCCCCCTTTCACCTCCCCCGCTTCCCCTCCCCCCCTTCACCTCCCCCCTTCCGTCGCCTCCTTCAAGACCGCCTACTGGTCAGTTCTGCTTCCTGTACATTCTTTCCTTGGCAGCAGCTTCACCCGTTCGTGGTTCGTCTTTCCCCCCCCCCGTTCCCCTCTTCCGCCTTCCTCCCAGGCCAACTGTCCGACGAGCTGCACAAGACCCGGCAGCAGCTGCAGTCCTCCAGGAATGACAACGTGGCGCTGTTTGAGAAGGTGAGAAGTGGCGTGTAGTGGATATCGCCGCTCCTGCCAATGGTGTAGCTGTAAGAACGTAGTAGGGAAACCGTTGTCAGCTGGGGCGCACTTCCCAGATAAGGCAGAGTGGATTTCCTTGGTGACCGATTCAGGCGTCGGAGTTTGATACATAGCTTTAGAGATGTTGATTTCCTTGTCTTCTGTTCTTTTATCATACCACAAGAATATGGTTTCACTCGCATTTAGGGTTTCACTTAAATTGTTGATATTTTTAATATGGTGGTTTGCGAACGTATGTATGTGTGTATGTATGTTTTTGTCGCTACACAGATACGTTACTTGGAGCGCTACAACCAGCGCGCAGCGGCGGCGAGCCGTACGACTGTTGTACGGGTCGACGCCGCCGGCGTTGCCCAGCCGTCGCCTGAGGAGTTGGCGGCTGTCCGGGGCAGTCGATATCAGTGCGGTCCCTTCGCACTGGAGGTTGGAGCTCAACGAGGCGGAGGAGGGGGAGGAGCAGCTACGGTAGCAGGTGCTGGCGGCGGCGCCGGCGGCATTGGCGGCGGCGGCTCCACGAGGTACAGCGGCGGCGCGGGCATGCGGAGCCGCGGCGCACGCCGTGGCGGGGGCCCTCTGGCGTGTTTTGGAGACGGGTAAGGAATGCTGGTGCCCCTATGTTTCCCTGAGTTGGGTTGGGTTGGGTTTGGGTTTGGGTTTGGATTGGCTTCGGCGGCGCTGGGGATTTTCGGGGGTTAGGTTGTCTAACCTTGCTTGGCAGTTGGGTTGTCGCGTTGTAATACTGTACCGTAATCGTACCGCCGCTGTCGCCGTCGTCGTGTTTTTCGCGCCCGCCTCGGTTTGCGCCTTCCCCCCTTGCCTGTCTACAATTCGGAATCAATTTTCTCCCCCCTTTCCCTTTCCCCGTCTGGCATCATTTCCCCCTTCCCCTCCCGTGCTTCCCCCACTTGGGGCATCGGCAGTTACTTCCTTGTTGTTGTTGTTGTTGTTGTTGTTACAAGGTGGTATAGCTTCACCAGCGGCCCCCTTTCCCGAGGCAGTTCCCTGCTCTCCCCTGCGAGAGGGGCACCCTAATCCATTCACCCCATCCGACTTCAGAATGTACTCTTTGGGTTCGGCAACTCACCACCAGCATCCAACCAAATCTAGCAGATCAACGGCGCGTCAACTTAGTTCCTGGTCAGCTCGCGAGCTGCTGTTGTCTCGTCCTACACCGTCCATAAGATGGGGGGCCACCTCCCATTTCAACACCCCTCACACATCGAGGGGACGGCAGGTGGATTTGAACCGGGGACCTCCGGGAGCAGAAGTCAGGCCTTAACTTCTGCCACCTTGTATTTGCTTACCTCCTGCAACCCTGCAACCCTGCAACCCCCCCTTTTTTCCCCCTTCACCCCCCGCCCAGTGATGACGTGGAGTCGTGCGGGGTTTCCTCCCCGGCTGAGTCGCGGGCTGCCCGGGCGTACGAGGCCCGAGTGAACCCCTTTGCGGAGTTCCAGCAGAGCGAGGTGGACAGCAGGATGAGGAACCTGCAGGTGGGGGCGGGGGTGGGGGCGGGGGCGGGGGGGGGTGTAGGTGGGGTGTGGGCGGGGGTGTGGGCGGGGGGGGGATGTGGCGGGATACACGCACGCACGGACAGAGGGTGGTGTGGGTTGGGCTGGGGGGGTTGAGGCACGGACACAAATCGTGGCAGGGGTGGAGTAGGGTGGGGGTTGGGGTTAGAGAGGGGGACCCCCTCCAAGCCCCTGACCGGCCCCGAACACTGGATGCGAATGTCACCCATGTATATGTCATGGCGTGGAGTGGGATGGCGTGGAGTGGAGTGTGCTTCTCTCCGTACACCGGCATATGTACGACGCTGGCGGGCCGTACAATCCCCTTGTGCCGTCCACATGTAACCAGCCTGCTGCGCCGCATGTAGCCATCCACCCGTTCGCATTTGCGTCCTCGCTCGTTTAGCATTTCTCGCTTCCCTCCCCTTTCGGCCACCCGGAGCTCACTCGCGCTTTCCATTACCCTCCTCCCGTTCGTGGTTCGTCTTCCCCCCCCTTTATATGGCTTGAGCACGGCTTGAACTCCTCTCCACCTCCTCGGTGGTGGTGGTGGACAGCGCTGATACATTTCTTCTCATGGCGCCATGTAATATTCCATATTGTTCCTTTCCTGCCCCACCCAAACAATGTCCGTCTGTTCGTTTGTCTGTCCGTCCGTCTGTCCGTTTGTCTGTCCATCTTCAGGTCCACGACCGCGCGCTTCTGGTGGGCAGCCGGCTCCTGCTGGGCAGCCGAGTGGCCCGTATGTTCCTGGCCATCTACACGGTCATGTTGCACTTCATCATCCTGCTGCTGTTCTTCTACGCCACGACGCCATGTCCGGCGCAAGGAGGGGGAGCGGGAGGGGGAGAACAGCAGCAGCAGCAGCAGCTGGCTACTGCAGCCACGTTGGCGGCGGCAGCCGGCGGAGGCGGCGGGGGTGTGGTTGCGGCGGCAGCTGCTGCAGTGCTGCGATAGTACCTTGGGTAGTAATGGTGGTGATGGTGGTAATAATGGTGGTGATGGTGGTGGTGGTGGTGATGGTGGGAGTGGTGTGTTCCTGGTGGTGGGCACCCACCCACACATCACTACAGCCACTAATTAGTGGCTGTAGTGATGTTACGGCAGCTGGCGTGACTGGTAGCGTGTGATGGTATTAATATGATGTTGCCGTACAGCCCATGGAAGTGAATTGAACTGGCCCCCTGGGTATCGGGTATGTAGATGAGGTTGTGTGGATTGGGGAAACGGGGCATTGGGAGGGGACAGGAGGCTTGGGGGTTGGGAGGCTCGGGGCAGTGGCTACCGGGGCGGGGGGGGTATGGGTGTGCACGCATGGAAGCTGAGTTTCATGCGGACGTTTGTGTATGTATGTATGTACGTACGTACGTACGTATGTATGAATTGGATTACACTGTGGGCCGCGAGAGCCGGGGGCCGAAGCCGAAACACAGCGCAAGGGTCGGGAGCACACAGCACAAGTCGGCTAGTCTTGTGTGCTCCCGACCCCGACTCAGACTGCCAACACTCTACGCAACCACTCCGCAGCCCTTCCATCCGGGGGTGGTACTGCAGTGAATACACCATGAAGGGCTCTCAGGTCCCGCTAGAGCGAGGCCAGCTAGGGCAAAGGCAGAGGCTCTCTGAAACAACCCCCCCAAACACAACCAACGACAAATGGATCCCAAGGAAAAGACAAAAAAGAAAAAGACGGCTAGGGTAGCCCAGGGAGGGGAGGCCGCCTGATACACATAACAAGCCAACAAAAAGCCCTCCAAGAAAGAAAGGCGTTGAGAAACCACAAGACGTCTTGCCGCCACCTCACAGCAACTGACCTCTCCCTTCCTGGGCTGGTCCAGGGAAGAAGTAGCCGTACAAATATTAGGACCACGCACAAGCCCGATCACCCCTGCATGTATGTATGTACGTGCGACCAGCCAGGCATTGATGAGAGGAGTGTGAAGCAAGGGAGGGATCGGTTAAGAAGGGGTGAAATCACATGTATGACCATGCGCGTTATCAATGAATCGTTGAGGTCGTTGTAATTTGAGCTGATGCTCGAAGACGTGGTGGTGGTGGTGGTGGTGGTGGTGGTGGTGGTGGTGGTGGTGGTGGTGGTGGTGTCGTGGTGGTGGTGGTGTCGTGGTGGTGGTGGTGTCGTGGTGGTGTCGTAGTAGCAGCCAGACAATATCGTACAGGCGGCGCGGTTCGGGCCCCGTGCGAGCGATCTGGTGATCGTAGCTGATCGAACCGCTGTCCTGAGGCCGCGGCGACCAGGCCACATCCCGCTTGATCGATGTGTTTCCTCCTGACACGACAGGCTTGGCAGTGTTTTGTGGCGTCATATATCGTCACATGCATACGTGTGTACGGAGATCCCGTACAAGTCATCCCCAGCGTTTTCAAGAGCAGATCTTAATGCATGACGAACCTTCCCAGCTTAGCCCACTTCCGTACCGAAGGAGGACCGACAGGCGCAGCAGGGTGCAACCCGAAGTAACCCGAGAAACCGTGAACCGATGCAGGTGCACCCCGCCACTGTCTGCCGCTGCACCAGGCATGAAGGTGTCAGTCACACCACATCTTAGCAGGTGGATCCCAGCTCTCGAGCCCGGTCTGCCTGGGACGGCTCGAGACGCCTAACCTCCGACAGGAACGATCACTGGGAAGATAGCTGTCAAGCCGTATCCGTACGACTTCGAGCCCCAGTGGGGCCGCCCAGTGGGGGGATGTTATTGGGTGTTTTTTTTTTGCATAAATCATAAATCCTAATGTCGTCCCTGAAAGGCATGTCTAATTCTGCTTGCAGTCTTGAAAGGCTCCCCATACTTTCTGGGCATGTACATGCGCGTAGTCCTTGTGTATCGCGTCTGGAGGGCCTTGAGCGGTCCCACGGCGTCTGTATGTTCCTGGTAAAGGACCAGGTTGTCATCGGACAGCAGCTCAATTCTAACGGCCCTGGCACCTTCGTGTGTTGCAGCATTCATTCGGCTGTACGCGGCTCCGTAATCAGCGCTGCTCCGAACTTGGGCTTGCTCACTGCTGCTGGTGCCCGAGCAGACCGCGTTGACCTGTTCTGCACACACAGCCTTTCTGAGCATGCGATCCTGCCCTCGGTCATTTTGAGTTTCCCGCGGCCGCCTGATCGGGGCTCATAACCTTTTGTATGAATCCTAGTGCCGTTGCGCGATGCACATTCAGCGAAGAAACCTGAGCACGATTAGTTACACGTAATTAGGCGGGTAACTAACCCAGCTCTCTGCAGGAGCTTTAAACGGACAAGTCGTGGTGATCGTACGGCTTGTCCTAAAACCAGTTCAAAACAGGGCTGACTGGACTTAAACTAAAACTGACACATTTGCACAACACTGGTTGGTAAAGCAGCCCTGGGAACACGCATATTCATAGCCCTAGTGCAAGCATGGTGACGGTATCCTTCCATGGCGTGCTGCGCCTTCGCATGTACCCAGCTTTATGGTGCCTTCGTCTCCGAGGAGATTACATAATGTCGTAGTTCAGCTCAATCTCCTCATCAGCCACCTTTCAAACTTCAACGTTTTGGGATCAGCAAGCTTGTTCGGACATGTCCGGCAGATAGCGCTATTTGCCTACAATATTATTTGTAGACTCGGCCGGAGTTATTATACCAACCAGATATATAGCTTCATCAGTAAGGAAGTTGCACCGTGTTAAGCCGAATGGAACCCTTTGTGTTATGTCCGGCATAAATTGGGTCCAGCGGACCCGGAATGTACGACCGGCGGACCCGCGGCGGACCTGATTTCTGTCGGGCTTTATGCAGAAAAAAAGGTTACAAAGGTATAGCGAGCCCTTCGTATTCCACTATCCGGCTTATATGTACGGTGGCGGGCTGACAGACTAGTGAAATAGACATACGTATGCTTTGGCAGGGTGAACTTAACAACCACAACTAACATCCATCGCTCGCAACATCTTTTACGGTAATACCAACGAGAACGGTAGGTGGTGATTTTGCAGAGGATCTGGCTGCACTAGTAAAGCTCTTATACGTTGTACGCCTGTCAACCTTAATAATCCTTAATACTAATTGTTCTGCTGTCACTCCACAGCAGCCCTCAGCCCGCGCATTCAGACTGTCGTCAGCAGCGGCCCGCGCAGCTGCTGGCGCTATGCCGGGAGCGCGGTGGAAAGGTTTGGGATTGGTAGCCATGGCCGCTCCGCCAGCTGCTTTCCGGCTGTCGTGGCACCTACCACTGCTCCTGGTTCTTAGCTGCTGCGCAGCTTCTCAGCTTACCATGGCCACGACAGGTGCGGATGAAATCGGATGCATTATGTTTCTAGGAACGGATGAAGCGTTTCTATAACTAACATGCCAACAGTCGGGCTAGGGCAAGGTGCACTCCAGTGCACACTGGCAGCCGGCGGGCGGCGGGTGGGCGGATCGGAAGCATGAAACTGTTCTCGCTTTCCATCTGTTGGTTTTCATTTAGCATTTACGTTATATCCTAGCTTCGCGCCATGGTGTCATCCTTGCCGATTATAAGGACAGCTGACAGTAGTTTTTTTGGAACGAAGCTTGTCGCTAAACGATATAAAATATAAACCTGATATGAATATCATCTCGTCACGACAGAATGGGGCGTCCGTGAAATACGTAACGTACTGTACAGCCTACGGTACATCGCACAGCTGCGTACGTCGTTCATTAGCTTAACCTGATAACATCTAAACTTAATGCAAATATGATTTTACTGTAGAAGTTTGAACTTCTGTATCTTCGTGACGTTCTACATACATACACACTCTTCACCGGGCTCTGTAGTAGCTGTACATAGTACGGCATACACATAGTCTACACCTAACATTTTCACGCTGATTGTCAATGATTGAGTACGCCGTTAGTAGGCGGCCAGTCCTTGCTAGCTTGAGCGTAGTATCGTCTATTCAGCCAAATTTGTGCCTCAGGCACGGCAGGTAGCAGATAGCAGATAGCAGCCGCGGGTAACCCACTATAAGCAGGTAACCCACTATTTGCGCGGCCCTTGGCAAGTACGGGGAACTGCCGCCAGACAGCTACTGTCTACAGCCTCGATGAACCTTCTGGAACCCACCTCATGTGCGTCTTAGCCCGTATTATATCGTGAAGAAAGGGGAAGCACCGCCCAAACCCAAGACAATATCAGAAGCCTGTACGGAAACGGCGGTCAAATAACTTGGTTGTCCTTGGATGGTTTTTGTGTGTCTGTTTTTGCAGTTTATGACGGAGATATTACGCAATCCAAATTCCGGCTTTTCACGCCTCTCACTTAGTGCTGGGACGACGGCTGTCGGACTGCAAACTGGCCACGACAAACCTGGCTTGACCAGCAGCCGCGGCCGTCTTATTGACTGCGGCCTGTTCGCGCTTCTCTGCTTCTTCCGCCTGACCAATCTGACGGCGTGCACCTCAGAACATACTAGCCTGGGACCTTCAACTCCGGCGCGTTTGCTAGGAGATGCGCAAGGCGGAAGCTTGAGCAGTCCCTAATCGAAGAGGGTCGATTGTCTCGCACGAATAGATGTCCTATACAATTAAGAAGATGTTAATGAAAATGATAAATGTGTTTCTGCCTTTGAAACGGCATTTGGGGGTCCGACGGGTGAGATTGGTGCGGATTGGTGCGGAGTGGAACTTGGGGACGCCGCTCATTCGGCAGAGCTACCTCCCGAATATATGGAACACGAGCCTTGTGTGGCAGTATGGTATGCGACTAATATCTGGAATATCTAACCTGAACCCATCTTTGACCGTATTAGGGCGTAAGGCTCAAACTATCCACGTGTACGCCAGCAGCCCCCGCTTTTCTTCCCGGCAGATCCCCGCTGCCTGCCCCTTTGTGTTGGCTGGGGACACCATGCCAGATGTCGGTAAAAAAAGTATTGAAAGTCAGGATTATCGTATATAATAGATATGACCGTGAAATCGTGTATAACTATTGTATAGGGTGGTCTATGGATCGTGCTATGGTTTATAAGTAGGCCTAAAATTAGAAACCCTAAACCTTAGGTACATAGACTTTTACTCCTTAATTTTACAGATGCTCCATTCCTGACGGACCTGATAAGGCGTCAAACTGATCCTCAATTGATGCTGGTGGCGGTGCGCCTTGTCTGGCGCCTATTTGTAGACGATTTGTGTGCCGTACTACGTACAGCCACCACTACTACACTCCCCCCCTCTGAAGGGATCTACCGTGGGGGCCTTTTCGGCCACATACGTGTATGCATACACCAGCCTGTACCTGTACCGCCTCCTACTCTTGCTCTGGCAGAGGGTGCTCAAACCACGTCTCGTCATTTCCCTCAGCTCACATGCGCCTAGCCGTCTCTAGTTATTTCAGGCACAGAGTCTTCCCTGTCAATCACAGCTACACGTACTGTCAATATATCCGATCAGAGATAGAATCGTCATGGCTAACCTGCCTGGTCATCCGCCACGAAATCCGCCACATAAGTAGAACATCTGAATTGAAGTGGCAACTTCAGGTTCACAGGTAGACGCGAGGTCTTGACACCAATTGCTCATTGAAAATACGTGTGCCGTACTATGTACGAGTTACAAGTTCCGCACAAGTGCGGGGGTGTCCATAAATGCCGGGGGGCCATGAACGGTAGATCGTTTTTAGTACGGTTCCGCGCAGTGGACCATCCTCCTCCTCCCTCGTCCGCTAGAGCACGAAGCGCCTTAGAGCAACATGCCGTGTCTCCCAGACTTCCGAGAGGAACCTGGCTAGTGCCAGGGGAGGGGCCTGTATAATAATCGTGCACATATCGCATTCTTGAAACGCAGGGACACCTTCGTACATGAACCACTTGTTAGAACAAAATCTTCAAAAGATTTCTACCTATTTATGAAATGACACCACCCAGTTTCGATTTGGGGACCTTCTGTGTGTTAGACAGATGTGATTCCACTACACCATGGTGTCGTACCTGAACTTGACACAACGTAAAAATAACTAATCAGATTTACAAAGCAATAACCGTATGTAACCGAATATAGTACGGCACACATATCCTTGTCCAAGGATCGCCGGATTGCTGGTCATTATAACCGAAGTCCTTCACTTTTCATGTGGCAAGGAGGCGTTTGGCCTTTACCGTGGCATTTCTTGACGGTTTCCTGCCGTAGCTGTGTAGGAAGCGGTCTGTAGACGCCAGGGACACTTTTGTCGTGCCTTGGGATTTTTGGCATGGGTCTGCAGGAGTGCAACTTTAACCTGCAGGTTATATCCTTAAGCGGAATTTACGATGTGGGAAGCAAATAAGACGAGTAGCCTAAAGGCCCATGTCCATACCCAACGTTCGGTTCTTATCCGAAAGAGTTGTAACTTGTAACATAGTCCAGGGCAGCGGAGGGGGTTACCCCGGGGCCGTGCTACCCCTCCCGCTGGTCCATAGAGACAGGCCAGCCATCACCAATCCAGCATGCAAAACTTAGTACATCAACTCCACACCTCAACAGCAATCCATAAAATTGATACTCCCGATCAATGTCGGGAATCTGCCCAGGAATCGAATGCAGGATCCCATCTGTTAATTGCAATGCGAGTCACAAGTAAATTGATTTCCCCCTCCAGTTGGGGCGCATCATCGTTCATTATCCATCCGCCATAGGATCATATCTCCATTTGTCCAGACGTCGATGCCCAGGCGATGTCCAGGATCATTGTGGGTGCGGCCACCCCCACCAGAATGGCCAGCGACCCATGCCATAACTGCAATGCCTGCTCCATACCAAATGTTGTATCGCGACTTCAGGAAAGAACTGATCGACCGTGCCCTAGTATAATAAATAGGAACGGCCCTTGCTGAAGTCGTGGGTCAACAGGGTCGAACAGGGTCGCAGGTCGACCTTAAAGCGATTGGGACCCTTACATAAAATACGTATTCTTTACACATGATGACATATCACGGGAACTATTCATACTCGTGCGTGGTAGGGTAGGTGGGATAAACGGAGTGAGCTTTGTCAGCAGGAGAAGCAGAAAGAGGTCGGCTGATGACATCGCTGATAGTGAGGGTTGATGTTGCCAGGGGATGCCGTACAGGTAATTATTTGTTCAATCCCATGATATTATTCATTCCCGCATTCGAACGTGGAAATGAATAGGCCGTACAATTGCAATAATCCCTCGTGTAGGAATGGTTAAGGCCGTACGATAAGTACGGGGAATGGTTATGGCCGTACAATTACTGTGCCGCTTAGGAAACCCACTACACAGTCTCTTCAGAAGACGTTCACATCAACCACCAGCGTTACACAACGCGTTATTTGTTCGCTGCTGCTGTGAGCGTATGCTTACCTGCTGTCCGCTGGTATAACATATCTCGCGTCCGCCACCTCCCCCACTACTGCCGCCACCTCCCCCACAATCCAATTCGCCGTGGACATGTGGACATGTGGACATGTGGACATCAGAGGGCTACATTGGCTGTTTCGTCGACAATGCGGACCGTGTTCTCCCCCAGTACTTAGCGGTTTACGACTCCAGGATGTCTGTGAGCTACTGTCGGGGCCTAGCAAAGGCGGCAGGTGAGTAGTGCAGGTGAATAGAGCACTTAAATGCACGTGATTACTCATCATCTGCCTGCCGCTGATACTTGATAAGTTTGATCAAAATGATCCTGTATGTTTATCTGTTTTTGGAGAGCCAGCAGTACGACTGTTGCTGCATGCTCGCTCTGTAGTGTTCCGCAAGCAATAATTTACTTCGAGTTGTAATGCCTGATGAATTTCAGTTATATCGACATGCCGTACATAGATGGCCGGCTTACTATCGATGTGTACACATCGTGCATAGTACACATGTGTAGTACATATCGTACACGTCGTATCCATTCATACATTCTTCATGCCCGTGCTGCAGGTTTGCCATATTTTGGTGTTGAGTATGGCCAGGAGTGCTACGGCGGCTCTGACATGGCGAGAGCAGTTTCGCTAGGCCCCAGTAACGGCTGCACGAGCGTCTGCTTCGGCGATTTTCGCCAAGTTTGTGGCGGTGGTTGGGCCATAGATATCTACGAAACCTCTCCCTCAGGTATGGCAAGCAAGTACAGCAGCGTGATGTCGCAGTAGCGGATCGTTGCATGTGTACACCAGACAGACAGACAGACAGACAGACAGACTAATGGAACTCATCCTAGCTCGGTATTCGCTGGTATGTTCACTTTTGTATGGTCCTAATTTCGTGATAGGTTAGGGTGTATTTCCAGTGCGGATTAAGGCCAGGGATTAGCGTTAATCCCTGCGCTAATCCCGGCAGTGGAAATCCCACCGGGATTAAGCAGGATTAGCCGGGGATTAAGAAATTCCTCAGGACACCGTGTTCTCTAATCAGAAGATTAGCGGGAGCTAGCAAGAGATTAGGAAAGAACATAAACTGAACTTGATGCCCATGTATTTACCTGGCAACCTGTGACAAAAAAGTTATTACCTGGCTCGAGCCAGGTAGTAACTTTCCGTATCTGGATTAGCATTCACGGCGCCATGTCTGACGTTAATTTCTAGGTAGTTCCATATATATGATCTCAAATAAGCAATTCCTGTTTTGGGTTGCTCAAAAGGTGATGAAGAGATGAACGGCGAGAAGAGTGCGCTTCCTGTTCATATCTAATACTGATTCAATTCCTAATGCCCAAACTAGTTCAGAACTTAACAATTTTAGCTTCAGAATCACATAGGAAGTATGCATCGCCCTTTGTACGGCCTTAATCCCAGCGCTAATCCCAGGCCTTAAGAATTGCCAGGGATTAGCCGGGGATTAGCCGGGAATAGCGGGACCTTAATCCCTGGCCTTAATCCGCACTGGAAATACACCCTTAGGTAGTGTAGTAGCTGCCATGCATAGGCTTGTTCCTAACCGTAGAAGGAAACTCCTTCTCATATCATTTCTAATTAGAAGTAAATTAGAATATGAGAATGAGAATGAGAATTACTTTGCTATCTTTTCACCCAGCGCGAAGAATTAACTGAAAATTTGCGGGCATGGCGGCTCATGGTTATTCAGGCGTTTCCAATTTTGTTTAGGCCGAAAGTCGATGGCGGGGGTCGTAACCCAGAAGGGTGTACCTCTTGGCCTTATATACCCCCCTTAGAATGCAAAGTTAACCTTGCCAAGTGTTGTTATTTCCAGCCAGTTGCATGGGGCAATGCAGTCACTGTCTGGGAAACCCACCCTGCCTCACGGAACCGAAAGGCCTGTATGAACGTGCCGTCACTATCGTGGAAGGCACGCAGTCCCTAGAGCTAGGCGGCTGCGCCATCCGTCTGTTGCAATAGCAGCTAAAGCACCACCAGCCTCAGCAACCTTGTCGAGGTCGTAGGCAAGCTCTTTGTAGGCGTTGTCAAGCATGGTGGCGGCAAGTTTCTTGCGGCCAGGGACGAGGACGCCAATTGCCGCGCAAGCAGCAACCAGGTTCGGGTGCTCGATCAGGTGCAAAGCTATGTTGCACTTGAAGAAAAAAAGAGCAAGATTCCAGAGGAACCGGGCGATGGCAACAGAAGAGGGGTAGAAGCTGCGAACGTCTGAACCGTCGGTGCGAGGGCGCTTCTTGACAGAGGCATCGAGGGGAGTGGAAGGGGTGGCGGTGGAGGGGTCGGCGGCGGGGCCGGCAAAGGGGCCGGGAGGAGCGGAGGGGCCAGCGGAGGGGCCAGCGGACGGATCGTTGGAGGGAGCAGCAGGACTCATGCAGTACAGCACACAAGTATAATTGTGCGCCCCTTGACGGGTGAAATATCTGTTGGGGGGGTACACATGCATATGTTTGCTGGCCGGTATGGCTGGTACAATAAATGAAGCACCACCTTTTTCTCAAGCCGACGTGCCAGGGTTCACTATTAGCAGCTAAATAGAGCCTAGGGCCTCACGGAGCATTTCAATCAAGTATGAAGTTTACAGGAAGCAAATGTACGATGCAAACATACCCCGGGGACACAACCGCTTGGGCGTATATTGATTGCTTCATAGGCCCCTAGCTAATTGTAGCAGCGGGATGGCCGGCGAGAGGGCCTTCCAAGGTGCTGGCAGAGCGCCATTTTTTAGTAACCGGAAGTACCGGAGGCTTTCTAGATGATTTGTGTGCCTTACATGTACTAGCTACTGCACTAATAAACAACGTATTGCAAACTTGCTTTTACCCTTCCACATGCATCGCCTTTTAGCGCCCACCGCCTGACCTATCCAACCTTTTTCATCCCCGTGGACATCAGAGGGCTACATCGGCTGTTTCGCCGACGATGCGGACCATGTCCTCCCTGAGCGCTTGGCGGACAATGACCCCAACATGTCTGTAAGCTACTGTCGGAACTTAGCCAAAGCTGCAGGTGAGTGCATTCGCGGTTTCCTCTGTGCGGGAGGTGGTGGCAGGCCCCGCGGCCGCTGGTTACCCTGCGAGTGCTGCCATCACGGTGGCCAACGTGATCACACAGGGACCCTGTGGTAGGATAAAAGGTCGTGGACGCCCTCTGCAGCTAGAGGGGGGATACTTGTTGTATCCTGGGCATATCGCGGGACCTGCATCCGCCGCTTGGTATTTTAAAATTTCCTGAAGTCGTGGTATAACATACACCTGCTGCAGGTTTGCCATATTTTGGTGTTGAGTATGGCCAGGAGTGCTACGGCGGCTCTGACATGGAGAGAGCAACCAGGCTGGGCCGCAGTAGCAACTGCACACACAGCTGCTCGGGCGACACTAGCCAGATTTGTGGCGGTGATTGGGCCGTCAACATCTATGAAACCTCCCCGATAGGTATGTACGGCGAGCACAGAGTGAAGCACGATTAGCAATTATGAAGCGCGTATCATGCTCGACTTATCATGTTCATCTTATAAAAGGTAGACCGAGAAATCATAAATATGATGTTGTTACAGGGTGGTATAGCTCCACCAGCGGCCCCCTTTCCCGAGGCAGTTCCCTGCTCTCCCCTGCGAGAGGGGCACCCTAATCCATTCACCCCATCCGACTTCAGAATGTATTCGTTGGGTTTAGCAACTAACCACCAGCATCCATACAAATCTGGCGGATCGACAGCGCCACAACTTAGTTCCTGGTCAGCTCACTGCTTGCTTTGATGACGTCCTACACTGTCCACAAAATGGGGGACCAGCTCCCATCTCAACACCTCTCACACACCCGAATCATCGGTAGGCGAATTTGAACCCGGACACTCCGGGAGCAGAAGTCAGGAATTATCTCCTGCCAGCCGCCTGCCTTAACTAAGTAGATTCCTGGTATGGAGTATGTGGTCTGTAGATCGTGCCGTGATAAAATGGATCAACAGGCATTAAAAACGATGCGCTACAGATGACCCGAAATCTTGACGACGGGTATCGTTCGATTATCGGCTAGCTCTGATCCCGAGGGATGATCTCGAGCTTTAAGCAACGCGATTTGAGTCCGTGTCCAGAGTAACCCTGCTAACATACGTGCCTCATCAGTATAGGCCGGCAGGGATGGAGCTGCATAGCATGGCATATCACGGGAACTATTCATACTCGTGCGTGGTCGGGTGGGTGGATAGACGGAGTGAGCTTTGTCAGCAGGAGAAGCAGAAAGAGGTCAGCTGATGACATGTCTGATAGTGGGGGTTGATGTTGCCAGGGGATGCCGTACAGCAGGAAAGGTCGTACAATCACAAAACACGGTTGGTATTACGTTATGCATAGTATCTACAGCAGACATCTTCTCCTCAACCATCTGCGCCCCACAAGACCCTATTAACACGCTACTGCTCTGTACATGTGCTTGTCTCCCGGTATGTATTTCAGGACCACCGCCGCCCCCACCCCCACCGCCGCCGCCGCCACTGCCACCACCACCGCCGCCACTGTTTCCGCTATCACCACCAGCGCCGCCATTGCCTCCACAACCACCTCCCCGCCAAGCGACATCAAAGGGCTACATTGGCTGTTTCGTCGACAATGCGGACCGTGTACTCCCCCAGTACTTAGCGGTTTACGACTTCAGGATGTCTGTAAGCCACTGTCGGGGCCTAGCAAAGGCGGCAGGTGAGTAGTGCAGGTGATTACTTAGGGCATATAAAATGCACGTGATTACACGCTTCCACCCATCGTCTGCCTGCCGCTGATACTTGATAAGTTTGATCAAAATAATCCCGTATGTTTATCTGTTTTTGGAGAGCCAGCAATACTACTGTTACTCGCTCTGTAGTGTTCCGCAAGCAATGATTTACTTCGAGTTGTAATGCCTGATGAATTTCAGTTATATCCACATGCCGTACATAGATTGCCGGCTTACTATCGATGTGTACACATCGTGCATAGTACACATGTGTAGTACATATCGTACACGTCGTATCCATTCATACATTCTTCATGCCCGTGCTGCAGGTTTGCCATATTTTGGTGTTGAGTATGGCCAGCAGTGCTACGGCGGCTCTGACATGGCGAGAGCAGTTTCGTTAGGCCCCAGTAACGGCTGCACGCTCAGCTGCTTGGGCGATCCTAGCGAAATTTGTGGCGGTGGTTGGGCCATAGATATCTACGAAACCTCTCCCTCAGGTATGGCAAGCAAGTACAGCAGCGTGAGGTTTCAGTAGCGGATAAATACGTTATATAACTTATTGAATATCATCCTAGGCATGGCGTGTTCATTAAATCATCTGCTCTAGGCCTAACACTTAGGTATAGCTCAAAGTAAGCGATTCCATGCAGGTACGGACAAGTCGGGTGTCGGCTTCCTCGAAGCCGGAAAAAGGGCGGGCCCCCCTTGCATCCGTACAGGCCGTGTGACAATTGATGGGTAGTGTCACTGCGGTGGGAGATGTGCTTTGTTGCAGCAGTACTGATGGTGTGGGAGCTAAGCTTGCACCGGCGGAATCGTCAGCACCGCCTGCGGGCTCCACGCGAATCGCATCCATCCCGGGTGCATGCCGCAAGGACAGTGCGGCAGACCGCAAGTCGGAATGCCCGTGCGGGCAAATTGGTAACGCAAGCTGAGTGAAGTTCGGTGCTGTCTGTGATGCTTATCCCCGAAGCGCCAGCAGCCTCATCAATCCGCCCCACAGCCGCGAGCTTCATCACGGCACACCGCAGGTCTTCGGAGGCCCCGAGCATTGGCCAAAGTAATTGTACAAACGAGCAGCTTGCGTATTTCATAGAGAAATGTAAGCAAATTTGTCGGCCTGCTGGTGGCTGTCATGTCGGAAATCCATGATGAGATACACGGCACCTTTTTGAGATGAAATTTAGCCCGAGAGGCGTTGATGTGACTTTGACCTCGGTCAATGTAGGCAGCAATCCTACAGGTCGGGGCCCCCCTGGGCGCTTCGCGCTGTGGCCCCGCCCAAAAACGTATCACCCTCTGTGCCTGCACCGGAAACCTCACTGTATTCCATGTACTACTCGATCCTAACGAGTCATCGGGCATGTCATCCACCCGGGGGTGCACATTTAGCTCGCCCCACTTATCCGGCTGGGTGCACACACTTGAAAGTCCAGGCGCAATCCGACGGCTGCGGTGACCACGCCTCAGCTGCATTTCCTGGGTCACATGCGAACCCGACCCCTCCTTGCATTGCTTACTGGCCTTCCCAAAACACCACCAGCCTGGAAGTGCTTCCGCCGCTTCAAGTACCCTTGCTAGAGATTCCGAAAGATGTTATACACTTGCAAGTGACACAGCCATAAATAACGCCTGGTGGCGTCAAACAGCACAGCTGTTTAGGCTGTTAAATCGTCTGCAGACGGAGAAAGACTCGCTTTGCAGATCAGTCCTTAAAATGGTAAAACGAAGCCAGAATACGTCAAAAAAGCGGTGTAGCCAAAATGGTGCCAAAATGGCGTACACAAAACATCGCAGTTTATAATAAATGTACAAAATATATATCGTTGCAAACTGCCATGATAATAACGTGAAGCAAGTTCGAGGGATGTCCGTCTTGTGTACACCCTTCCACATGCATCGCCTTTTAGCGCCCACCGCCTGACCTATCCAACCTTTTTCACCCCCGTGGACATCAGAGGGCTACATCGGCTGTTTCGCCGACGATGCGGACCGTGTCCTCCCTGAGCGCTTGGCGGACAATGACCCCAACATGTCTGTAAGCTACTGCCGGAACTTAGCCAAAGCTGCAGGTGAGTGCATTCGCACTCCCATGCTTCCAGTAGTGCCTGATGCTGATGCTATATATCTTTCATTTCAAGTTGGTTGTTTATTTTTGAATGTTTACTCAGTAATACTGCTGCATACTCAGGCTCGCTCTGCTGGTTTGTGTTCGCAGACCATGTGGTGCTTGATGAACTAATGAAACACATGTCACATCATTTTGGCGTCACGTCCATTTTCCCGTCTTTCCTGTAGTTAACCTCTATGTTGATATTGGTTTTCAGTTTTGGCGTTTGGTCTTGTAAGTCTGCAAGGTGTTTGGTAGTTGTCTTACGTTCGCTTTGCTTCGCTAATCGTTTGGTCTGTCGTACACACATGTCTTGTCGATGCTACAGCCATATGACACAACACACACAATAATTGCATATAGACGACATGCTTACGTGCTCCCGCTGCAGGTTTGCCATATTTTGGTGTTGAGTATGGCCAGGAGTGCTACGGCGGCTCTGACATGGAGATAGCAACCAGGCTGGGCCGCAGTAGCAACTGCACACACAGCTGCTCGGGCGACACTAGCAAGATTTGTGGCGGTGATTGGGCCGTAAACATCTATGAAACCTCCCCGATAGGTATGTACGGCGAGCACAGAGTGAACCACGATTAGCAATTATGAAGCGTGTAAGAAGGGCTTAGCTCCCTTGACATCTTCTGAGTACTCTTTGCCTGGTGTTACATTGGTGCGAATTTCTTGGATTTGGGATCTCCCATGATCGAGTCCGGTTACGAACATAGCGCACTCCAGGCATGATGTTTCCTCAAAGGTGGATGCCCGGGTGGGCGAGAAGTCTACCAGCTGAGTAAATAGTAAAGACCACATCTCGGTCGTTGACTGACTGACGAAATGTCATATAACCATATAAACCATAAATCCTACGGGATCTCAATTAACCATAATCCTAGGGGACATGCTCGGCGGCACCCGAGGACGTTCACTCGAGGGGGGGAGGAATGTAAGAAGGGATCAGCTCCCTTGGCATTTCCCTGAGTACTCTTTGCCTGGTGTTACAAAGAGTGTATCATGCTCTCGGCATTTCATGACATGGTGTAGTGGCAGTGATGATGATAGTGGGGGTTGATGTTGCCAGGGGATGCCGTACAGCAGGAAAGGTCGTACAATCACACAGTTGGAAGACCCTATGTAGCAGCTGACCGCTGAAAAGGTCTCTCGAGTTGCTGGCGGTCGCGCTCTGCGCGTATTTATAAGCACCGTACTGTGTACCGGCTGCTACATTCCCCCCCCTTTGAAGGGAACCGTCCCGGGCCCTTAGAGCCTCGTATACCGCCAGCCTGTGCCTACCTTCGCCTACCCTCGGGCAGTGGGGTGACCAAGCCCACGTCACGTCATGTGCCCGCTTCACATGCGCCTAGCCTTCAGGTTTTTCAGGCACAGAGACAGTCCAGTCGGTTCAGCTACTTTTAATCTATAGTTTTGTGCGATATTCGCTCACTGAGTCGCCACACCCAAAATACCACTCGAACGTGATCGATGGGGGTTGAACCGACGACTTCAGGATCGTGATTTTACACGAGGTCTCGATACAAAATGTAGCAGCTGACCGCTGAAAAGGTCTCTCGAGTTGCTGACAGTCGCGCTCTGCGCGTATTTATAGCACCGTACTGTGTACCGGCTGTTACACCCTAATGCATAGTATCTAAAGCAGACATCTTCTCCTCAACCATCTGCGCCCCACAAACCCCTATTAACTCGCTACTGCTCTGTACATGTGCTTGTCTCCCGGTATGTATTTCAGGACCACCGCCGCCCCCACCCCCACCGCCGCCGCCGCCACTGCCACCACCACCGCCGCCATTGCCTCCACAACCACCTCCCCGCCAGTGGACATCAAAGGGCTACATTGGCTGTTTCAACGACGACTGGGACCGTGCCCTCCCTCAATACTTGGTCTATTACGACCCGGGAATGTCTGTAAGCTACTGTCGGGGCCTAGCAAAGGCAGCAGGTGAGAAGTGCATTTGAATAGGGCACTTAAAATGCACGTGATTACTCATCATCTGCCTGCAGCTGATACTTGATAAGTTTGATCAAAATAATCCTGTATGTTTATCTGTTTTTGGAGAGCCAGCAATACTACTGTTACTCGCTCTGTAGTGTTCCGCAAGCAATAATTTACTTCGAGTTGTACTGCCTGATGAATTTCAGTTATACCGACATGCCGTACATAGATGGCCGGCTTACTATCATAGCACACATCGTACAAGCCGTATCCACTTGGGACATTCTTCACGCTCGTGCTGCAGGTTTGCCATATTTTGGTGTTGAGTTTGGCCAGGAGTGCTACGGCGGCTCTGACATGGCGAGAGCTATCTCGCATGGCCGCAATAACACCTGCACGCACCGCTGCTCGGGTGATCCTAGCGAAATTTGTGGCGGTGGTTGGGCCATAGATATCTACGAAACCTCTCCCTCAGGTATGGCAAGCAATTACAGCAGCGTGATGTCTCAGTAGCGGATCATTGCATTGAATAGTATCATCCTAATCACTTCCACGGCGTGCTCCCATAATAACCTTACGGTAATTATCCTTTGATAGGTATAGCGAGTCTATACACGTACGATAACACTCACACTTGAGAGTGATATATCGATGGCCAAAAATGTAGTAACCTTGCTAATACCCTGTATTACCCTTGTAAGTGACACAGCCATAAGCAATGCCTGGTGTTGTCAAATAGCACTGATGTTAGGGAGGTTAAAATCGTCTGTAAAATGTTTTCATCAGTAAAGTGTTTGGTCGCCTACAGGCCACACCCACCCATGTAATAGATAGTGACGGTCTTGTGATGGTCTTAAATCCGTCTACTTTATGGCCGTATCTACTTATTCTACTCTAGTGCCAGTAAGAATTGGCGACAGAAATTTTGGCGACGGCATTTAAAAAGTCCGGAAACCATTTGCAATAATCTTTGCAATTGGTGATGGCCCGCGGCGGGAGATCGGTCTGCAGCTGTGTGACGAAGATTGGTGACGGTTGCATATGATATGTAGATAGGGGGGTCGCATCTACACATTGCGGCCGCTACCTGGCGAAACCCTGCCTTCCCCGGAATTTCGGGGCACCCGGCGCTCTTGCCTTCCACCTTCGGAAGGAGTTTTGACCTTGATAGGTCTTCAATCTGTTGTAGGCTTCAGACGACACAACCATGAGATGGAAGATACCGATAGAGGCAAAAGTGCCTTGAATAAACAGTCATCAGTGACTCCACTTGGGCCTCGCGTCGAAAGGTCCCCAGTACGACTGGGCGACGCGGTATCCAGAAGCCAAAGCTCTCGGGAGCTACTCTCGATCGGTCAGACGAACCAGGGACGCAGGTCCCAGCTTTTCTCAGGTGAAGCCCCCGCCCATACTCAGGTATGGACTTCTGCAGCGGTGCGGCATTAAGATGGCAGACGACTATCAGTAGTCGCGAGTAAACTAATATCAGTATTAGTTAGACCTGTAATCACCGACAGCGGATATATATCCGAAGCCTAACTGTCGGCAGTTCGGAGCCGCAAGCTGTGCAGAAAGCTTTACAGGATACAACATAATCCCGGATGCTCATCAGTGTATACACTGATGTCCCCGTAGCTCATACGTATGCGCTACCCTTAGTGCCTGAACTGACGCCTGTGCTGGAAAAGCCTTAGACATTTACACGTGCTACAACATTTTGGTGACGGCATCCCAGTTGTGTGTCACTACTTTATGTTGGCACTACGGAACTATCCTTCGGCCCAGGAGCGCAGTCCTCAGCATGCACCAATGGCTGCGTCCATTCGGCACAGTGGGCGATATTGAAGCAAACATATCTGGAGACATCTGTAGACAAGAATAAAGGCAGATGGACAGTGCATATCAGTTTCGCTTACTGCCGTGGTGCGACCCGACATCGGCAAACGCTTCTGTAGTAGCTGGTGCACAGTACGGCACACATCACCTACAAATACGCGCGAAGCGCTAGACCGGCATCTCGAAAGCCCTTTCAGCGGCCAGCTACTACAGCTTCGAGCACTTCGGGTCGTACGTACTGGAACTCCCGATAACAGAAAGAGTTTTCCCGAGGCCGAACAGCTTGCAGAAATAGTCCATCCACCATAAACGGAAGCTCCTCTGCGGCCGAAGGGCCGCCTGACCGCCGGAGCCGGCAGTCACAACGACAGCAGAAATGGACCCGTTCCCGAAATCAGAAATACGAGGGTTGGATGATAAGGAGTACTAGGTCCTACAGCTCCTATCACAACGAGCTACAAGAGAATGCAAGGAGTAAAAGGAAGCCTATTACCTATACAGGGGCCTCATATCCCTACCCTGGGCCCTTAGGCACCCTTCCATTCCTAGCACCCCTTCTGCCCACCCCCGGTTGGGGCCCCCCCCTTGCATCCTTCCCTTCCTAGTAATGTAAGGGTAGTAATGACCCGCCGCACAGCTTAGTTGCGAGCATATCCTTGCCTATCTATTTCTTGGTCCCCATCTCTTCTACAGTGACCTATATTGTAACACCAGGCAAAGAGTACTCAGGGAGATGCCAGGGGAGCTGATCCCTTCTTACATTCCTCCCTCGAGTGAACGTCCTCGGGCGCCCCCGGGCATATCCTGTAGGATTTGATTGTTTGAGATCCCGTAGAATTGTGAGGCTGTTGGTTATTGTGACATTTCGTCAGTCCCCGTCCGAGATGGAGGACTTTGTTTTTACTCAGCTGGTAGACTTATCGCCCACCCGGGCATCCACCTTGGGGGTAAGAGTATGCTGCATCGTGCCTGGTGTGCACTATGGTCGAAACCGGATTCTATCCGGAGAGTTCCCACCACCTAGCAATTCGCACCTATGTGCGCACCAGGCAAAGAGTACTCAGGGAGATGCCAGGGGAGCTGATCCCTTCTTACATATATGACCTATAGACAATCAAACATTTACCGCCTGACCTATCCAACCTTTTTCACCCCCGTGGACATCAGAGGGCTACATCGGCTGTTTCGCCGACGATGCGGACCGTGTCCTCCCTGAGCGCTTGGCGGACAATGACCCCAACATGTCTGTAAGCTACTGCCGGAACTTAGCCAAAGCTGCAGGTGAGTGCATTCGCGGTTTCCTCTGTGCGGGAGGTGGCAGGCCCCGCGGCCGCTGGTTACCCTGCGGGTGCTGCCATCACGATGGCCAACGTGATCACACAGGGACCCTGTGGTAGGATAAAAGGTCGTGGACGCCCTCTACAGCTAGAGGGGGGGTACTTGTTGTATCCTGGGCATATCGCGGGACCTGCATCCGCCGCTTGGTATTTTAAAATTTCCTGAAGTCGTGGTATAACATACACCTGCTGCAGGTTTGCCATATTTTGGTGTTGAGTATGGCCAGGAGTGCTACGGCGGCTCTGACATGGAGATAGCAACCAGGCTGGGCCGCAGTAGCAACTGCACACACAGCTGCTCGGGCGACACTAGCCAGATTTGTGGCGGTGATTGGGCCGTCAACATCTATGAAACCTCCCCGATAGGTATGTACGGCGAGCACAGAGTGAAGCACGATTAGCAATAATGAAGCGCGTATCATGCTCGACTTATCATGTTCATCTTATAAAAGGTAGACCGAGAAATCATAAATATGATGTTGTTACAGGGTGGTATAGCTTCACCAGCGGCCCCCTTTCCCGAGGCAGTTCCCTGCTCTCCCCTGCGAGAGGGGCACCCTAATCCATTCACCCCATCCGACTTCAGAATGTATTCGTTGGGTTTAGCAACTAACCACCAGCATCCAATCAAATCGGATCGACAGCGCCACAACTTAGTTCCTGGTCAGCTCACTAATTGCTATGATGACGTCCTACACTGTCCACAAAATGGGGGACCAGCTCCCATCTCAACACCTCTCACACTCCCGAGGCGTCAGCAGGCGGATTAAAACCCGGACATTTCGGGAGCAGAAGTCAGGATTTGACTTCTGCCAGCCGCCTGCCTTAACTAAGTAGATTCATGGTATGGAGTGTGTGGTTTGTAGATCGTCCCATGGTTCAATAGATCAACAGGCATGAAAAACGATGCGCTACAGATGACCCGAAATCTTGACGACGGGTATCGTTCGATTATCGGCTAGCTCTGATCCCGAGGGATGATCTCGAGCTTTAAGCAACGCGATTTGAGTCCGTGTCCAGAGTAACCCTGCTAACATACGTGCCTCATCAGTACAGGCCGGCAGGGATGGAGCTGCATTGCATGGCATATCACGGGAACTATTCATACGCGTGCGTGGTAGGGTGGGTGGATAGATGGAGTGAGCTTTGTCAGCAGGAGAAGCAGAAAGAGGTCAGCTGATGACATGTCTGATAGTGGGGGTTGATGTTGCCAGGGAATGCCGTACAGCAGGAAAGGTCGTACAATCACAAAACACGGTTGGTATTACGTTATGCATAGTATCTACAGCAGACATCTTCTCCTCAACCATCTGCGCCCCACAAAACCCTATTAACTCGCTACTGCTCTGTACATGTGCTTGTCTCCCGGTATGTATTTCAGGACCACCGCCGCCCCCACCGCCACCGCCGCCGCCGCCACTGCCACCACCACCGCCGCCACTGATTCCGCTATCACCACCACCGCCGCCCTTTCCTCCACAACCACCTCCTCCCCCAGCGACATCAGAGGGCTACATTGGCTGTTTCGTCGACAATGCGGACCGTGTTCTCCCCCAGTACTTAGCGGTTTACGACTACAGGATGTCTTTGAGCTACTGTCGGGGCCTAGCAAAGGCGGCAGGTGAGTAGTGCAGGTGAATAGAGCACTTAAATGCACGCCTCTATTAGAATGCACGTGAATTAGTGGTTTATATGTTTCCGCTGTGAAGGGCTGTACATACTACGGCACACAAATACGGCACACATGGCGTGCTAAAGCACACCACCAGCATCCATAGAGAGCATGGTTTCAGCGTTCAGCTACTAGGATTGGTAGTGGCACCTGGTAGATGCCTGTGAACCTGAAGTCGTCAATTCGTGCAGTAGCTGGCCGCCGCTGAAACAGCCTCCCAAGATGCTGCTGGCGGAGCGCCTTAGCGTGTATTTGTAAATGATGCTGTGCCGTACTTGTACAGCTACTACAGTTCAGCCCCGATATGTTATATTTCTAAAATTGTGCTAGCAAGAGTAGGAGACGGTACAGGCACAGGCTGGTGTATGTTGAATTGAATTGAATTGACTTGTTACAGAGTGGGAGGCTTCTGGGCCACTTGAACACATTGTCATTTTTTCTACAATTTATCACACCATATAGCACCATCCACCATTACCACACTGTACTACGCCAAACGAACTGGAAGTCGAAGGCGGTTGGTCCTGCCTTCTAGGATCCCTCCTTATCCATTCACCCGAACATCCGCAGAGACAGAGGGTTCAGCAATCGCTACAAATTCAGCGTGCGAATCTCGATCCAGCACCAGTGACCTCAACTCCACATCTCAGCATCTAGCCATAATCTCACGCTCCCAACAATGCCGGGGGTCTCCTTAGGGAATCGAACCCAGGATCTTCAACTGTATAAGGCAGTAGTGCCATGTGGCCGAAAGGGCCCGAATCGGATCCCTTCAGAGGGGGGGGAAATGTAGGAGTAGTGGCTGTATGTATTATGGCACACAAATCGTCTACAAATAGGCGCCAAGGCGCATCGCCACCAGCACCCCTTTCAGTGGCGGCTTTCAACTACTACACCCTGCCGGCTGCTGGTGTTTGATACGCTTGATCTGCCTTGCGTCCTCTGCCTGCTGCTGATATTTGATTAGTGTACAGCGTGAGTATGCAGCAACAGTAGTACTGCTGGTTCTCTCAAAACAAACAAAGATAACAATCCCGTATGTTTATCTGTTTTGGAGAGCCAGCAGTACGACTGTTGCTGCATACTCGCTCTGTAGTGTTCCGCAGGAAATAATTTACTTCGAGTTGTAATGCCTGATGAACTTCAGTTATACCGACATGCCGTACATAGATGGCCGGCTTACTATCGATGTGTACACATCGTGCATAGTACACATGTGTAGTACATATCGTACAAGTCGTATCAATTCATACACTGTTTATGCCCGTGCTGCAGGTTTGCCATATTTTGGTGTTGAGTATGGCCAGGAGTGCTACGGCGGCTCTGACATGGCGAGAGCAGTTTCGTTAGGCCCCAGTAACGGCTGCACGCACAGCTGCTTGGGCGATCCTAGCGAAATTTGTGGCGGTGATTGGGCCATAGATATCTACGAAACCTCTCCCTCAGGTATGGCAAGCAAGCATAGCAGCGTGAAGTTTCAGTAGCGGATCATTGCATGTGTACACCAGACAGACAGACAGACAGACTAATTTCAGGAATGGCAGATTATAGCAAAATTACCAACTAGACAAAATTAGGAAAACGAAGCTGGTGCTTAATGACTTGTAGCTACAAGCTGAAACCTCCTTACAAACAACTGCAATTATGCTTCTACACTACCATCATGAGGTGTGCTTCAGGGTTTAGCTAGGTGGTTAAAAGCTCTTAGGATCGCTAACAAGTTGGGGTTCTAGATCTGCAGATCTAGATCTACGCTGTACTGCACTTGTACAGCCAACTTCGGGAACAAGCCCTTGACTTCTGTAGTACAGCATGAAAGGGAATATCAAAAAGCACTATCTGAATACTCCATTCGATGTATTAACTCCCTGCTCTTGCCCACGTATGCTTACTTGTCCCCCGGTATTTCAGGCCCACCACTGCTGCCAACACCGCCGCCAACAGCGCCTCCTCCCCCCCCTCCTGCAACTCCCCTTCTCCCTCCTCCCCCTTCCCCTCCTCCTCCTCCACCACCTCCTCCACCTCCCTTCCCTCATCCTCCCCCTCCTCCTCCGCCACCTCCTCCACCTCCCTCCCCTCGTCCTCCCCCTCCTCCTCCACCTATCTCCCCTCCTCCTTTCCCCTCTCCCTCCCAAAGGCCACAGCGCTCCCCACGTCCCCCCACAACTCCTTCCCCCCCTTGCCCACAGCGCTCCCCACGTCCCCCCTCACCCCCTCCCCTACGTCGTCCACCCCCCTCTCCACGCCACCCGTCTTCCCCTCTTAGGGGAAGACGGGTATCTTAGTATCGTAGTATCTCGCCCATCCCCGGCACCCAGACACCTCTCCTCCTCTCCCCTACCTCGCCAATAACCTTCCCATCATCCTACTAATCCTAATACATTTTGATCAAGAGGTTCTGGCCCGATGCAGCAGCCAATACATATCAGAACAGTGCAAACAGTATTATTTGGATTGAACGGGTGTTTATGCCGTCCTGCCAGCCCAGCAACTAGTTATCATTCAGAGGCACATGCAGTGCGACAACCAACATCGGGCTCAGGAGGGCACGTGCACACAGCCAGCCAACCTAGTGGCCGAATCGAGCTGCTGTGTCTCCATATGGTGGGTCATGGCAGATGGCAACCAGCAGCCTAATCAGGACATGCATGTCAGCAACTGGCAGTTGCTCCAACACCATATGGGCAGCAGATCGTTTTGCGCCTACATAAAATATTGTGCCATGGTCTTGGGAGGTATCGATCTAATATACTAGATAGGGCACGATCTGTAGATGATGGAAATATCCAACGACATAAGCATGTCCATGTGTGTCGGCGCTGAGGATATTTTCTCTTTGGAGTCCTTCATTCTTGCGCCATTTGTGCATCTATGTCGATCATCATAGCTATCTGTATAGCTGTCGAGCCAGGCGCTCCGTCCGCTGAGCGAGATGAGTCGGCAATTGCAAACTATGCACGTGTTTCCACTTTGACAACTGATATGTAATAAATACTATTTTACCTCAACAGATATTTAGTACTTGGATATGTTCTTATATAACAGATGTATCTTGAGCATGAAGGCAGCACATACGTCGAGGAGCTGTAGTAGCTGGTACACAGTACGACACACTATCAAATACAAATGCGCGCGAAGCGCTCGACCAGCATCTCGAGAGGCCTTTCAGCGGCCAGCTACTACAGGAGCAAGCCTCAACCATGAGGCTTGCAAGCGGCAACATACATGCAGGCAGGAAGGCAGGCACTGGCCATGGGATACTGTCGGGAACCCATAAACAAGTTGGAGATTAATTCGGGCCGAGGGATATGCTCCTACTCCATAACATGAGGCAAACCTAGTCGATCAACATGGTATGCAACCATCCTAGGAAGCTGGAAGGACATCCTAGCCACACAAACAGCATGTCAACTAGGCAAACTCGGAAGAATCGATGGTGCCGAACATAAATACAGGAATCCAGTCAAGCAAACCCCGGACAGGACGGAGCACAAGACCAGCCATATCAAGGCAAAGATGCTGAGATTACACAACAGGAGGCTGAGGAGAAATTGAAAACTGATCCTTTGCTCCCACGCGGATAGAGGGATGGCACCACACTACTTGGGGGCCACACTCAGGAAGGACAGTGCACATGTGTAACACCTGCAGGCAAAGAGTACTCAGGGAGATGCCAAGGGAGCTGAACCCTTCTTACAACATGTACTTCACTGGCTGGGCCCTATGCTGGGTGGAGGCTAGCTCAGTGACACCGCCACCCGCCTGCTACTGCTCTGTCCCCCACCACCCACCAATCCTATGGCATAAAACCGGGGGTCCCCCCCCTTGTTAACACAGCCTACACACACCCCCACGGCACCCATGCACATGACCTCATCACTCTTGTGGACCGGGGTAGCTTTATAAGCAAAAATGCAATACAGCAGGCAAGTACTAGTGTATGATATGGTTTGGTCGAGGCACACTCGTAAAAATGGGTTGCCCTGTCTAGACGTCTGGGTAATACGCTACCGGTGAATAACAGATCTGTTACCCCCCGCTAGCGTATTACCCAGACCCTCTTTTACCCCTCGGTAGGGGGGTCTGGGTAATACCCCTACCCCTCGGTAAGGGGTTTTACCCACCTCCCTCCGTACAAACCCACATGGGCAACCACTTACCCCTACCCCCACCCCTGGGTAACGCATAAGGGGGGGTACCCCCGTTTATGCCATAGGGTTGCTGACCGACCCTCGCGGGTCCTCCAGCTCCCTCAGTTTCTCCCGCTCCTCCAGGCCAATCGCCACCAGCTTTTTTCCACACAATCCTGAAGATGATGGGACTTGGCGTCGCTGAGTGGCGGGTGTTTTCGGAGGTCGAGGTCGCAAGGTCAAGAATGGTCTTGCAATGGTCAAACGCCATATTGACGCTGACGCAGAAACGCAGCTGCTGGTTAGACCTGCTTAAAGTTGTATCGTTTAGAGCAAAGGTCAACGAGACATGCCAAGCGGGCGCCGGCCACGCTACTGCTTTAAAAGCGACGACAATAAAGTTTAAGCAACACAGGCGCGCACAGTTTAAGCAAACAACACTCACTCAGCAACACGCTAAGGCTCTGCTCCAATGAGGGCCGACCCGGGCAAGGCCGGAGTACGGGAACACCCAACTGCCGTACGAACCGCACGGCTTCAACTCACCTGCAAACCATATTATCAATTCAACCTAAAATCTACTACTTTTCAGTTTAGTCTCATGTGACAGCCATGATGGTCAGCAGTTGGTGGTTATTAGTTACAAGTTACAAGTTTCGCACACACGTGTTGGTATGTCCGTAAAAGCCGGGGTTCCCATAGACGGTTATGATTGGGTATGCGGGGTATGCGGGGCCCCATTATCATCCGCCCTCGTCCGCTTCGGCATGAAGCGCCTTAGCGCAACGTGCCTGACCTCCCAGATTTCCGAGAGGGAAGCCTCAATGCCAGGGCCGGCGCCTCAGTCATAATGGTGCGCATGCTGCGCCCTTCAAACACGAGGTCACCACTCACGGCCGTTGGGCTGGTTAACCTCCCAACAGCCCAACCAGAAATACATGAGCACTTCATGCAAAAGCTGGGCAGCATTGTTGCTTCGGTGTGCGCCAGCCACCGCCCCGCACACCCCGAGGCGGGGCCGCTCCCATTCAGTTCTGATAGCGGCAAGCCCTGACACCGGCACTACTTCCACTGGGGAAAACGCGGGGGTCACCCATGGCCAGGGTATTCGAACGCTCCCACTGTGCATCAAGCAGCTTAGCAAATTCCTTTAGGGTTTAGCTAACCGGGCTTTACTCTGAAATTGATCATCTGCTTCATTACAGAAACTAGTAGTAGGTGGACAGGGGGAATGTACAGAGTGTTTTGGGCAGCAGTGTCCCTTCACGCACCATGTGCACCTTCAAGACATGCTATGCTATGAAAACACACTAGCTATAGTGTCCAAGTAGATTTATTCTGTCGGGACATACATACATACTGCATCATTCATATACCCGAGCAGGGACACAAAACAACTGACACACAAGTAATAGTTGTGTGATACATCTCAATGCCTAAAAGCAGAAAGTCCATGCACAGCCGTCGCTGCATATGTGGGCGCACACAAGGGCTTATTTATCTGCCAAGCTCAAGGCGGGGCCAGCAAGCCGGTGCTGCAGCATATAGGGGTGGTGTTGTGGTTGATGTTAGGTGACCCACATACCAAATATATATCGACAACACACATGCACTCAAATGCAGAAAAGTAACAAAGGGAGCTCAACTCCGTCTGAAGCTGCACACCAACTTCTGCTAATAAGATGGCATCTGAGGTGGGAGCTCTGATGACAGAGGATCCATCCACCTAGCCATCGCCAAATCCCCTTTAAGCCGTTCCGTCGCCTCCCTAACCCCCCGACCTCCATCTGTCTGTCATCCACCCCCACATTAAATCCCACCACCTTCACGTGCAGCGCCATACCCAAACGCTTTCTCTGGCAGCTACTTCGTCATTAGTGCCTGCTGCTGCCTCAACTGCTGCACCCAGATTCAGTTGCTCACTTCCTTCACCAGCTGTCCAACTACTACAGCTTTTCCCCTGATGCCATTACTGCCATTACTTCACCAGCGGCTGCTCATCCTCGCCAAGTTCCGGAGCCAGATCCGCCAGATCTAGCGCCCGCTCAACCGCCTTCCGCCACCTGTCGTACCGACGTCCCGCTGCCGCCGGCGTCACACCCGGCTGGAACGCTGTCGCCTCCACAGCCGCGGCACCCCCACTTCCATTTCCGTGACCTCCCTTGTTGCACCCACCATCATGACCACAATCACCAGCACTGTTCACCAGCCCCAACACCCCATCCGGTTGGGGCCCTTCCGGTGCCAGCGAATGTATCTGTGCTGCCGGCAGCGCCGCTGCCAACGCCGCCGCCGCCCGCTGTGGCAACATATGTTGTTGGCGATTGTTGAGTGGTGGCTGCGGCGCCGCCGCAAACACCTCCTCCTTCGACCACATGTTGACGGCCAGTCCGGCAGCGAGGGCGGCTCCCAGACTAGTGGTCTCTCTAAAGGCGGGTCGTACCACTGGTACCTGGCGAGTGAGGAGAGGCGGTGTGCGGGGTGTCGTACCACGACTTCAGAAAAGTACCGATCGGCGGACGCAGATCTCCCGTGATAATGATAATAAGCCCCCCAAGATACCACAACGGAGGGAGAGGGCACCGAGTGGGTGGGTGAGCGTAGGGATGACAGGGTGCGGGTGGTTGTTATCTTAGGGTTTTAGGGTTTTGGGAGCGTGGTTGTTACAGTGGGCTCCAAACTGTGTGCATGTGCGCTCACATACCGTGATGCACGCATACATATGCAAGACATGCCTGCATGTGTGTTGCAACTCAAGGTTTAACACACGCATATCATTGCATTCCCCTTGTTTGTCTGTTGCCCTGGAGCAAACCCCAAGTCCATCAAATACACACATACATGCCCTGTGGCCATCCTCCCATCCACCTTTCTGCCCCACCACTCCTTGCCTCATTGCCCATGCCCTTGCCACGTGACCGCGGCCCCACTCCCACTTCCCCGCCGTACCTGCAGCAGGTCCGCCTGCAGCTGCATCAGCAGGTCGTTAGCCGCCGCACCTCCGTCCACCCGCAGCGCCGCCAACCCACCGTGGTGCTCGTCCAGCTCGGCATCGCGCCTCATGGCGTCCAAAACCTCCCGGGTTTGGAAACAGATGGCCTCCAGCATGGCGCGAACCTGGAGAGGGGATGAAGGGGAATAGGAAACAAAAGGTTGAGTGAAGGGGGAAACGTAGATGTGACTTACTCCGTGATATCAAAAGCGAGGAGGGGAGGGACCTAGGGAGAGTTAGGGAGAACTGAAGAGGTTAAGACGAAGAAAAAGGAAGTGGGAGCAGCCCAAACAGAGGACGGGTGGGGAGGAGAGTGTGTATTGGGGGGAGGGTGCGTGTGTATGCGTATGTACGCGTGCTTGTGTGGATATGCCTGGGGGGGGGAGGTTTCGAACGGAGGTCGTATAAGAGTATCTCGTGTGAGAGGAAGGAGTGCCGAAGGGTATCACCTAGTGGCCAAACAATCCACCTTACCTATCCACCTATACTCCCCTCCCCCAAGACAGACACACAGACAGACACACAGACAGACACACAGACATACATACAGACAGACACACAGACAGACACACAGACAGACACACAGACAGACACACAGACAGACACACAGACAGACATACAGACAGACACACAGACAGACACACAGACTGACACACAGACTGACTGACTGACAGATAGATCGACACACAGACAGACAGACTGACTGGTAGACAGACACAGACAGACTGACTGACTGGTAGACAGACACATAGTTAGGCTGACTGACAGATCGACAGACAGACATTCTTTCCCGTCCTCGCTCACCACATGTGCTCGGGTGGTGAACGAGGTCATCCCCAGCAGCACACCCCGGGCATCAGCTCGCCAGTGGGGGGCCAGCAACCCGGAGAAGGCGGGGACGAAATACACACCACCTGGTGGAGGAGTGGGCGGGAGGGCGGGTGGGAGTGTGGGAGTGTGGGCGGGTGGGAGGGTGGGAGTGAGCTACAGGGTAGGGGGGTGGGATCGGCAAGGTAGTCTTCGTCAAAGGTGGCGACGGATATGGTGGTGGTGAGGTGGGGACGTGAAAGGGTTGGAGGATGTCAAGGAGAACACGAGGGCCATGGATACGTTTATTTAGGTGGGCGAAGTCAATTAGGTGGTGAAAGGAGTGAAGGATGAGTAAGAGAAAAAAGATACGCACATAGCACTTGGCGCAGGTAAATGGTAAGTGTCAAAACCGTGCAGCCTCGCAAAATAATTGCCCTAACCGTTGTTGCACGGTAACGGTTCCCACCCGCCCTGCCTCCCTCCCTCCCACCCCCCTGCCTCCCTCACCCGTATCCGGGACTGACGCTGCCAGCACCTCGGACTCCGCCGCACTGCCAATGACGCCCAGGTTGTCCCGCAACCAGCTGATACCCAGACCGGCCACAGCCACGGAGCCTGACAGGGGATGGGAGGGTGAGTGGGTGGGTGGGAGGGTGGGAGGCAGGGTGGGAGGCAGGGTGGGAGGGTGGGTGGGTGGGAGGGTGGGAGGGAGGGTGGAAGGTGGAGGGTGGAAGGTGGAGGGTGGAAGGTGGAAGGGGTATAACGGGGGAGGGGGCCGTGATGATCCAAAGTCAAGGAACTAGCTGCTGACGTGCAAAAGGGGGTTAGCTATGCCAGAAATGAAGGAGGAATGGGGGTCAACGTGAATGGAAGGAAAACTGGACGTTGGCCGCTCCGCACTTCCACGTGCGCTTCCAAACACACTCGGACACACGCACGATATACTCGGAGACATTCTCTGCTTGCTTCCGTGCATATGTCCGCATGCAACATCTCCCACCATGACATTCTTGGCCTCCTTCCGCTCAGTTTGAAAAACACACGCCATTTCTCCCCCAACCCATCCCATCCCACCCTCTCTCCTCACCCTCCAGCGCATAGTTCGTCGGCTTGTCCGGACCCAGTTTGAAAGCCACGGTGGTGAGCAGTCCGTGAGTGGAGGCTATACGGCGTTGACCCGTGTTCAGCAACATGAAGCAACCGGTGCCGTACGTGTTCTTGGCCTCCCCGGGCCGGCAGCGCTGACCTGCAGGCGGGTGGGAGTGGAACCCGCCGGTTCACACGGTGTGTGTGTAGAGGAACAAAAATTGGATATACTTATAACAAGTAAATAAATGGAAAAATAAAATCTACTACAAGTGCAAAATTTAAACCTGTAATTAATGAGTAAATGGAAGATATTTAAATGTAGACGTGACAAATTAGGTAAACATAAAAAATGAATTAAATACATAAATCAGCCACTATGGGCAGGCAAGCAGGAAGAATCCCGCACCCTTTACACGACGACGTCCCCACCACCAAAATTCACTCGCTCGGCCCCCCCTCCCACCCCCCCCCACTACCCCCCCCCCGCACACACCTAACATGGCCGCCATCTGGTCCCCCAGACACCCGGCAATGGGAACCCCCTCCAGCGGCCCCAGCGGGTGGAAGGAGGAAGCGAAACCACCACTGCCACCACCACCACTGCCAACCCCGCTTCCGTAAAGCTGGGGTGCCGTGGCGTGTGTGGGTGTGATGAGGCCGTACACCTCAGCGTTTGAGGCGATTCGCGGCAGTACGACACGGGGGCAGCGGAAGGCTTCCAGGGTGGATTCATGCCATTCCAAGGAATCCAGATCCATGAGGAGTGTACGGGAGGCGTTGGTGACTGCGGGGGACAAGAAGAAAACACACACGCATTTCACATACGCGGAGGGGGGGTGTTCGGGGGACAGGAAGCCTGGTCGTGAGTGGACAGGGGCCAGAGGCGAGCGCCGGATGTGTGCGTATCGTGCGAGGGAGTGTGTGTGTGGGATGGAGGACTTCGGAGGTGTTTTTCGATTCCATGTCGGGCTGTCTAGATGCGGCTTTGCCGTTTGCAAAGCTCCTTTGCTTGCTCTCTTCGCCCCATCACCCGCCCGTCTCGCCGTCGCCCTCCTCGCCCTTCCACTTCGCCATCCAAATCTCCAAATGGAGGAACCGCGCATGCACATGCAGATGGGCGCCAAAACCTTTCCCGCCAAACGCACTCCCCTCTCCCCAACCCGTCCCCTTCCCCCACAGCCCTTGAAAACCCTCCCCCATCCCAACCCCACCCCCAGGCGCACCCGTCTGCCTGTCCGTTAACTTGCCAGGTGCACATCCCCACCCTCACCCTCCTTAATCAAATCCACCCTAACACAGCAACCACCCTGACCACCTTGACCACCACCACCAACGGCACCACCACCAACCAGCAATACCCGGGCCCCGCACCTCACCGTCTGTGACATGCACCCCCCCCGCGGCCCCTCCAGTCAGCTGCCAGATCAACCAGCTGTCAATGGTGCCCACTGCGGCATCGCCACTGTCCACCGCTGCACGAACCTGTGGGGGGAAGGGGGGAAGGGTAAGACGAACCACAGACGGTGGGGAAGAGTGTGTGTGTTGAGGGGACGGTGACATTCTCCCTAGAGGATTGCTTTCCGGCGTTTTCGGTAAGTAGGGGCGGGGGAAAGGAAACCGCTGACTCAACATACATGAGCACGCGACTAGAGGTATTTTAGGGAAGGAAGGGAAGGGGGGAGGGAGGGGCGGTACACATACATACGTACAGACACGACCTTTGATGTTCCCATTTTGAAAATACTCTCGTTCACAGATAAGCATACAGACGAGTGTTTTGGCTGGTTCCGGAGCCCTCTCGGCGCCGCGCACCTCCGGCACATTTTCGTACATCCACAGGTACTTGGTGGCCGAAAAGTACGGCGAGATGGGCAGTCCGGTGACCGCACGGAACGCGTCGCGGCCGCCATGTACGGCGGCGAGTTTGTCGCACAGCTCACTGCAGACATGCAGCGGGACAGTGGCGGTCGGAGGGCGGGGGGGGGGAGAAATCGTGTGGTACAGATCCAAAGCACCAACTAACGGTCGGGTTCAGGGTTGGACGAATGTCCCATGGGTCAGTGGCATCAATAGATTGGTGGTATATGATGGAACAGTTTCAGGTGGGTGGCCAACGACGGGCAGTGGGCCAAATAATTGAGATCCCCTCCTTTTTTTGCTTCCTCCTCCCCCTTCCTCCACCCTTTCCTCCTCCTCCTCCCCGCTCACATCGCCTTCCCATAGCGGCAGCACCGCCCCGCTCACTGATCCTTGCGCGCACACCTGGTTCGGTTGTCCAGCCACACAATGGCATTGTGCAGCGGCCGACCCGTGGTTCGGCTCCACACCACTGTCGTCTCGCGCTGCAAGGAGCATACACATACATACGAACGCACATAGACACGAAACACACGAAACACCGGTGTAGGCACCATGCGAAGCCGACAAGAGTTTCATCATCAGACACATGTATACATCACAACGGGAGCCGATCGTGGATTGAGACGGGGCGTAGCGCTGCGGGTTAGAAAGGGGAGCTGTCCCTCCTCCCCCCAGCCCCCGGTAGCCGGGGGGGGGGTTTGACTTGGCGTTCAAAAGCTCACCTGGTTCGTGATTCCCAGCGCCATCATCCGCAGGGGAGGTCGCCCAGAGGACACCACTCGCTGTTGGGCCTCCTGTGCGTATACCGCCACAAACAACACCAGGAATAAGCAGAGTGAGGAGAAGGATGAACGAAACGGGGAAAAGGCATGCAGGATGGGTGGGTGGACAAAATCTCAAACAAACAGATTCCAAAGGCCCAAGCATTTTTTCGTAGGGTCCACCCTGTCATCGTACCTCCCAGGCGCGGCTGAGGCACTCCAGAACCGTGCGCCAGATTTCCATAGGGTCATGCTCGCACCAACTGCGAGAAGGCAGAGGGCAATGAAAGATTCGTAGCACGGTAGTCAACAAAACGCGCGTTCTTGGCGTTTTTCTTAGGCATGGCTTCTGTACTGTGCGAGGAAGTCTGGGTTGGGAAGATAACTTTACGCGCATGTGTTTTGGATAATCCTGGGAGGTCGAAGGTCGGCCAGGCGAAGGTTTTTAAGTTGGGAGGGGAGCTTTCGCTGCGTAGCAGCCTGATGCCTGACACCGTGATGCGCGCCGGATAACAGGTCTGTGGACAGGGGAAGTTGGTTAAAAGCGCGCAGAATTTGGTGGGTTCATGGCGCGAGGCGCGGCATCCCGAAAGGACTCCAAGGGACTAAGCAAGCTGTAATACCTTGCATCGATGACACATGGCACCTTACCCTGCTTGCGGGTATATTTGCGGCAGGTCCGCTTGATGCGAAGCGATCGGTGCGCAGTCTCGGTCAAAAATAAAAACCCTCGTCGATTGTGTTCCCTGGTCCAAGGCTGCTGTGCATTCTGTAAACTCCATGGCCTCCCTAAGCTGCGGCTAACGGACCGCTGCGCAAGCTTACGAGGGCCCAAAGGGTTGCAATGCGCCAACACGCGACACGCTCCTGAACTGTCAGTTGTAATACAGCATCTCTAGATGTGCATGTGACAGCTTAAAAACCATTTATTCCTCGTCTGCTTATCTTGAGGAGGTTTTGGCTGCCGTTGGCGGTTATGTTGAGCTGGAACGGTGGAAGTTGTCACTCCGAATCGCACAAAGGTGTACATTCCTTAGATAAATATTTATCACCTATATCGCGCTATTTGAGGGAAAAGCAGTTGCAGGAATGCCAACAAGTTAACATTGGAAGCCAAGCTCCTGGCATGCGTTATGTGTGCAGCAGGACGCCGGGCATCTGGGAAGTACTAAGCTGTATACCGGCTAAAAGGGATAGGTCGACCTCGACTGAATGAGCCGTGCTTTGTTAGGCAGGGTAGGTAAAGATGGTAGCGACACAGTGAATGTTGCGGATGATGTTCAAACATTAAACGGCAGCAACGTGGGGCTGCGCATTGCGGCTGTTTTCATCATTCTATCCGCGGGCCTCCTTGGCGGCGTGCCGCCGCTTTTCATTAAGGCGCTGCGTAACCAGAACAGCTTGCCAACATTCTTGATAAGAGCATTTTCTGCTGGCATCATCTTGGCGCTGGCTCTCGTACACATCTTGCCAGGTCCGTTGATCGCATGAGCGGGGCTTCAGCTTGCCGGTCCAGTTACCCAAGCAAAAAGTTGCGTTCTGTTTGTTTATAAGCACATCCTATCATGTCGTGCTACTCCTGGTTCAACCTTACCTCCTGAGTCAAGCCCTTGTTAACAACATTTACTGCCCTTCTCAAAAATACACGCTTTCCCCCCCGGGAACTTCATGGGCCCGGCGTCCCTTTGCACCTGACCATAACCGCTAGCTCCCATCAGCACCGCCATCTTTTAATCCCGGATAACGTCCGTCTTGCGGCTCAAACCATCGCGGGCGGTTCAAAAAATACGCAGAGGCCGTAGAGGAGCTCGTTGACCTGGGCGGCGTGGACTACCCTCTGGGCGGCACCAGCATCCTCGTGGGCCTTTTCGTTATGGTCTTCATCGAACATGCCGCACACCTCGCGTACGACATGCCGCATGCACATGCCCATGCTCCTAGCAGTGATGGCGCCAGCGGCGATACCCACAGCCACAGTCACGGCCAGGGCCACATCCACAGCCACGGAGCCCTCAACGGCAGTGGTTTCGGAGCATTGACAGGGGAGCCGTCTCCAGCATCATCCGCCGCAGAGACGGCGGAATGGGGCAGCGACAAAGAGGGGCGAAGGAAGCTGCCAACGGCAGCGACGACGACGGTGGCAGCAGGGCAACCGCCATCGCCGGAAGGAGGCCGCCATCCCCCGCACGTGCATTCACGTGCATTCTGTCGAAAACAGCCGCCTTCGGAGCAGCATATAGGCCGCCATTCGCGCCATTCGCCGCGGGAGCCACAAGTTGAACATCAGCAACAGGAGGGTCAGCAGCAGCAGCTGCTGCTACTGGGCCAAGAGCAACAGCAGCAACAGTGCTCGACAGAGCCGGTGTCCTCACAGCCAGTCGGTGACTCGCCCACCACACGCACCGCCCAAACACCGCCTCCTGGAGGGCTGCTCGGGACGTCGCCTCCGTCAGTGCTGCTGCTGCTGGCCGGCCGCGCAAGTAAGACGGAAGAAGCTAAGCAGCACGGGAAATACGAAAAGGGACCATCGTTGTTTGGGCAGTGGTGGCGATGCCGCATCCAGCAGGACAGTGGTGTCATCACAGGCCCCTCTACCGCCACCGCCGCGCCCGCCTCAGCGGACATGTCGTCAACTGCCTCCGCTTTGCTTCCCGGATTAGCCCAGGACTTGGCCACTACTGTTCCCGTTGCTACTGCTACTGCCACTGCTGCTTCTACACCGGGAGGTAGCGGCGGCGGCGAGGCCGCCGCGAGGGGAACT